CACAGAATTACCAGTATGTCTAGCAACCTGATAACTGTTGCATAATCTAACCAGTGGAACCTTTTACTTTGTAACAGAGCAGTTATATTTTATGTCAGTAGTTTTTAATTGATCACCTGTAATAGACTATCTTTATGTTCCATAACATCAGTTCCTGATCGATTAACTTATTAATTTTAACTGGATTTTAGTTAATAACTCATCCATGATGGATTCCTCATGGATCTATGATGACTCTGACTGACGCGGGCTGGTAAGGCTGTTCCGTCCCACAATAGGTCATGGTGTGGATCCACGGAGGCGGATTTGTGTTAGCTGGAGCGTCCGTGTTTGATGGCTCTGCCCTGGCCGCCTACCAGAACGTGGTGGTGGTCCTCATCCAGTATCGTCTGGGACTTCTTGGTTTCTTCAGGTGGGCTTTAAGGCAGAGATAAGCATCTCAATGTACACCTTGTGGACAAAATATCAGTCTGTGACACAGGAACCAGTTTCAAAGGCAAATACAGCAAATGTGTTGGTTTTTATAGTTTTTTAAACCTGATTTGGAAGCCAGACCGGATTAAAATCCGACCCTGTTAATGGGGGGGTAGTGGGGGACCATGCAGAGTGAGCGGGGGCGGGGGGCCACCATACACCATACGCCCATGGACCTGGCAGGTCCAGCTGTGGTTGGAAGGGACTGGAAGACGCCCGGGTATGTGTGAATATGTGAGCTGTACCCCACAGCACGGGGGATGAACATGCCCCAGGAAACATCGGACTTCTCGACCAGGTGGCTGCGCTGCAGTGGGTCCAGGAGAATATCCAGAGTTTTGGGGGAGACCCCAAATCTGTGACCATCTTTGGAGAGTCAGCGGGTGGTGTTAGTGTGTCCCTGCAGGTGGGAATCTCGAACACAGTCGCTTTGTGTGTACTTGGACAGTCATGTAATTAAGCTGTGTTCAAATGCCCATATGCTCACAGCACAGTGACAGGTTGGGGCACAGTGCGGTCAGCATATGGGCATTTCAACCCCCCCGCGTGGTGGCTAAGCAGCTGGAAAACAGATGGGTGGGCACACATATATATACAGACAAACATTCATAACAACTCCTGTCCTCTCGCTCCTGTCCGCTCGCTCCTGTCCTCTCGCTCCTGTCC